GACTTTACATACATACTTCAAATTATATAAATGTGATCGAAATCAGTATCAAGATACGCCTACAATGACCATGAATATACTAATTTAGGATATTTTTAGACCTATATCCGTGGGAGGTCCCTCGCCTATGATGGCGGCGATGAGTTACAAGTGATTAACCCAAATTGTCCAGCATTTAAATGAACCATTGGCAAAAAAGTGAATACTAGAAATAGACGGTTTAAAATAGAAATAATTTGGATAATATTATTGAACTATCTTCGTCTTTTTCGTGACTTTTCATCACGTGAGATGGAATATAAATAGATAAATAGAAGATGGATAGAATCGAATACCTTTAAACGAGCAATTCTTGTATATTTAAATACGTATATATATATTATTTAGTATGCAAGGGGTTTAGGGAGCGATTAATCGATCTAACTAAGTTTCATTTTTAGAAAATTTACCAAAAATTCATCCTGGTACTCTTTATTTGTACGGCATTTTTACAAGAGTCGTCTCATACATACAAATGTACAGATATTATTGAATGTACAAAGGGCAGCCTGTTTGCTAAATGAAATTCCTTGGCATGGATCAAAATGTTCGGAGCGACAGCAGTACTTTAAAATGCATTTAAGTATATTTGGATTTAATTATATTTAAAATGCATACATCTTTTAATACCATAATTATCATAAACGAGTTTGTTTTAGTTTGTATCGTTGGAAGTATGTGTGTTTGTTACTGAAACACCATAAAACGGCTGAACAGATCTGGATGAAAATTGACTCAAAGATAAATTATAGTCTGTATGGCACATAAGTAACTTTTATCATGGCAAAAAGTCAATACTAATGCAAGTAAAGCCGCGAGTAAAAGTTAGTTAATAATACAAAGTAATAAATATGGAACAGGTAGTGTGACCAAACGTCATGGAATGTAAACAACAGTGGGACCAATGTTTTTACAAATCACGATATTTGACCATAAAATAAATGAATTACTCGTCATTTTAAGTCTCGAATATTCTCTACAATTTTTCTTCCAATTAGTCACACAGCGACTACAAACAAATACAAAAATAAATGGCAGTCAACTAAGCTGAAACTATTAAGCGTATTCCCAGGACCATTGGATACTATTTATATCAGGGCGTGGTCAGGACATAACGACAGTCAAACGGGATGTGGAGGGACAATTTACGACCGGAACTGCTTTATGGAGATTGACCGATCAAGGAACATTTCTGGTCAATTTAGGGACACACCATTTTTTATGGTCAGTAAAAAATGTTGGGTCCATAATGGCGTTGCTTTTAGCAAGTTTTAGAAACACAATTTCAGAAAACAATTCACCGCCTGTTTTTTTATATTTACCACTTCCGTTAGATACATAAAAGATATGTATATTATTAATCTTTATATACATTATCAAACTAAAGCTCAATACAAGGGATATTAATAAAGAAGTGTCTACAATTTTATACATAATGAAGACAAGAAATGCTTCAGAAAAATAAATGTCAGAATTATAATAATACCCTCACACATCTCACACACTGCCTGTGCCTGCCTGTAAGTATTATTATAACCACATTGCTAATCAATATACTTATATAGTTTTAAATACATACATATTATAGATAAATTACACCCAGACACAGAACATGCTCATGCCACAATTATTTGCCATAGGCGGTAATCAAAGCCACGAGCTCTAGCTTAGCAGTCATCACTAATAACTAGACTGACAGGTCTGTCGTCTGTCAGAATAAAAAGTAATTACTTCTGAGGAAGATATTATGGAGTTAAAACACTAAAACTGGGTTATTAATAAAGCTATAACAGTAATGAAGCTGGTACATTTCCTATGAGATTGAGATTTAGATACAAAAAAATATGTTTAAAAATAAATCTATACCATGGTCAGCGTTGTGCACTTATTTTTACATTGAGGACTTAACTTTACACAAGTAGTTTATTTTTATCATTGAAAAGATTTATAAGATATCGAAATGTTATGACTGTGTCCAGCTTGTTCTCTGAGCGCTACATCTTTTAATAAAATAAACGCAATAATTTAGGCTGTAGCAGGTGACCTAAGATAGTGTTTAAAAACTGTACATTCTCCAATAAAGTAGCTTTATTTAATTACTCAACAGAAGTTTAAAGTTATAAGCTAAATACGTCTTTAGAAGACAAAAAATTTTATCCTTTGGCGAACTTTTAACGTTTTAACTTACGAAGGCCTCAGTTACTTCGCGTGTCGTTATAAATCTCTATTTCATTAAAATAATGTAGGCTAGTAAACAACTTTCTTTATTCACCATCAAACAAATCATCCAAAATGAAAAACTACGAACACTCTTGACATCCATTAGTTTAAAGTTCTCACGGTATGAAATTAATATAAACAAAGGCTAATAAAGCAAAATATTTGCAAGAAAACTGATAGCTACATCAACATTGAAGTAAGCGGAATTGCACTTTTAGTTTTCGCTGCATAAGCTTTATTTATGACGGTTTAATGCTAAACATACTCTTTGTCATCTCATCACTTTATCTTCCGTTTAACCTTCAACCAACACGGTCAGTAAATTTCCTTGAAATGTCTTCTTACTACACAAACTGACTAGTATCATGTTGTAAGTCTTCATAAAATCTATGCTTACCTCAAAGATTCCCCAACCTTCTGACACGTCATATGTAAACAACATAACGACCTAACTGTATCCAAACACATCGGATTGATTTCTAACACGAGTGTCTATGTTTACATTGAAAAACAGCTATCGATAAAATAAAAAAAAATCTTAATGATCAAGTATCAAGTGACTGACAAAATTTATAAGTGTTGATATATATGATATAGTTATTGCATCTAATTGGCGAGAGATTTCGTGTAACATATTGAAACAATAGTAAGCCACACACGACGACCAATCATATGCCGATAACGCCTTTGTCTTCACGTCAATAATATTGCTTTTTTTCTCTGATGATTTGTGAAGCCAGGACGCGTCACAATGAGTGCGGAGTGGGATGCGGGCGGCTGAATAGCGCGTTTATTGTGGCTTGAGCTTTTGTGGCGACTCGTGACACATGTGCACAAGCGTTCCTATACAATCCTGGGGCAAGTGCCCGATAACCGGATCTAGTTGTTCACAGAAGAGGTTATGCACGTTTAAATTATTACGTTGCCATATACTTTAAGCTACCTTATTAAATAAAGTTACAATCATATAAATATATTCGAAAAATAGGACCAATGAATGAAACAACAAAAGGAACCATAGCTGAGAATGCAAATGACGGAAAACAAATTAATGCGACAACGCATCGTCCAACCAAAGATAAAAAGGTTGAAACAGAATTAATAGGTAAAGTACCGTACCTATATATCAGTTCAAAGAGTTTCAGTTAATGAATCGAGCGACAGACGACTCGCAACACCTCTTTTGTGGTTGGACAAAATTGACTTTGACGAAGCGAACGAAGCCAAAATAACTAATCGTGTCCAACCCATTGTGCGTGCTATAATTAGAAGGCTTGGAAATAAACACGTGGTGGCAATTATCGCAGCAACGGGTTAAATGAGGCACCGAGAAACAGCCGTTAATGGGTACACCCATCCGGCGACGAAATCCTTCGCTACGGACCGTGGATAAAGAATTACTGGACTTCCGAGAAAGTAAACGTCTTTATATAACCAATTTCATACTCGATTTTCCATTCAGCACAACGAGTTACACAACAGATATAAATAAGATGCAGGAAATAACGAGTTAATTGCATGCTCAGTCATAAACGCTGAGAATGGTTCTCCACCTGAAGATTTAAGGATCATCTTCACTGTACATCAATGCAATACCAATTAATACGCTACAAGGGGTATAAAATACAGCAACTTAGGTGAAGGTATATTGCAATCACATTTATCAGTTAAATTCCAAGTGCTTTGTAAATTAACTTTTTTAAAGTTTCGTGTGCAAGGTTAGAAGCGAGGCGTACCTCGAGGCTGAGCACGGAGGCATTAATCATCTCAGTCGGGTGGCTCGGCCTGCTGCCATACATCACGCACCCTTTGAGCACAGCGAGTTACTCATTTGTTGAAACGCACCGTTCTGCTTTTATTAACGTCCGTCTTAACATTGTAAACGTCTCAATTTGTTTGACGACTTCCTGTTCATCATTCAGTGACGTTCAGGTGGCGATCGAGCCTTTTCAAGCTTTACAACCCTATTTTTATATCGTCCAGTTACGGAAGATTAATGTTGTCATCAAATCTGGCCGCTCAGTGTCCGATGTTTTGCAATAAATTATCATTAAGTAACACGTTGTCTCACCTGGACGGAGTTTTATGGTCGACCGGCCGTAAACCACTGTTAATACGCCGGCTCTAATCTAATCTAAAAGTTTTCTACCTGCTCCCGATATAAATTCCTTTATAGGACGTAAAAAGTTGGTGAAGCAAGGATAAAAGTAATTTTGCTAATGGAAGACGATATGCATAAATTAAGGTGCATATAAATATATGAATTTTATGGGTGATAAACTATAAATACTTTTAATTACATTGAATACAACACAGTAAAAGTTATGAAGTACAATTCTGTTCAAAGTTAACATGCGCAATTATGTTATAAAAAGGTTCTGCAGCGACGAAACCGTTTAATGAACCACTCTACTTTATAGAGTTGACCAATAAACATGGTTGACTTTTGAGAACTGGAAACGAGAATCGACAGTAATATTAAAGGATACTTGTCCAGCAAGGGAATCGTAATAAATTTATATATGTAGATAGATTTCTTCCATAAAAAAGAGCTACATCAGATATGAGATTATTATAAACGATGAAATGTAGTACGATAAAATTAAATGTACTATTGTGAAACGCAGAAAGTGATCATACTATAATAAATAAAAAAAGCTTGGGTTGAGTAGAATGTATATTGGACTGGAAAGAAACATTGAACGAATTTTATAATAACAAAATTAAATTAAGCTACTTACTGGGCATGATGATGATAATGCGTAGCGTGGTGCATAGCTGTAGCAGGAGCACCGGGAGGAGTCGAAGCATGGAATGCAGCAAACGCCGAAGGAAATTGTAGTGGAAGGAAACCACCGCTGCCTGCACTCCCAGGACCTCCCACCGACTCCCGATCAGGCATTATTTACAGTCCTAACACTGCGTCATAGTCCGTCACCTCTTTAGTCAACACTTCATCACTCTCACTAAGTTTAATCACAATTTTGTCTTTATATTTGAAGAGTTTGTATAATCTTTTGTCAGGTCAGCTCGAGCCTTATTACATCCATTTTTGTCGCTAACGTCATTATTCTATTATTCTTCATATTTTTCTGCATAGCTGATAAGTATAAAATCAATCTTCTTAAAAACCTGTCTCATTCTTCCATTTTATGCACCTGAAACAAAGATAATTGCTGTTAATTATATATGCTGTTTTAATTCGGTAGCCGCGTCTGAGTAACTAAATTATAATGTTTTCATGGTGTTAAACAAAAAAGCGTAAATGTTATCGCGTTAAGATTGCGTGTCCGTATGTAGTTACTTCAATTGCCTCTATTATGTCTTCATTTTACGAGTGAGACAAATTATCTGACTAGCATTAAGTTGTTGCCTACTAATGCGTATTTGAACCATTTTAAAATAATCATTCTAAGTTTTTTGGAGATATTTCGACACTAATTTTTAAATTACCATGTTATTTTAGTCCTTTGTTAATGTTTACGTGAGCAGTTTCTCCAATGTATTTAAGATCTAAAAAATTAAGTTTTGATATAACTTGAAAAAAATTCTAATTTTACCAGCGTGTTTACTTAGCAAAACGCAAGTCGTAAAATAAAATGTTATAATCGGAGTTCTAAGTAGCATTGCTATCAGATGCGTTAAGGTGTCTTTTCCTATATCTTGACCATTTTAGTTCTAACGTTACGTTTTAGCCTTACGCGTTATTACCGTATGCGGTAGTGCTAAGGTAATTCACAGCCCGTATTGACGATATTTACAATTTGTTAAAGTATAATTTTAGTAACGTGTTAATTTTATAATATTATTATAAATAGCTTTTGAGTTAATCCGATTATCAGGCTGATATTATAAAGGCATAAGTTTATAAGTGTGTGTGTTCGTATGTTTGTTATTATTATTAGAATTTTAAATCCCGAAAAAAAGTAGTGCTACCGTTTCATGAGCACGGTACAACGATTTATACGATAATCGCGGGTAGTAAGTAAGCAGACGGGTCACCTGAGGGTAAGTGGACACGTGTTGGGTCTCCTTTATCCTCACATACTCTTTGAAAAGTAAAAAAATAATTGCTTAACATCTGTTTTTGGAACGAAGTTCCTTGTTGCGCGTTACACGCTCCCAGCGGATGGGAGCAAGACCGAAAAATGTGTAACAAGACTTTTTACCGGCACTTCAGTTGGCGTGTCGACTTTTACATCTTCTTCATATTTCATAAATATCAAACGTCTACCAAAAGGCGAAAGGAACTTCGTTCCGAACGAGGGTCCATAGACCCCTCACGCCGTTTTTAGTTGTGTGGCTATGGTATCAGGCAACGCAAGGCCTCCTTTTATCATATTAAGAAATGCAAAAAAAAACTACTTTCCTATAATTATTAAGTTCAATATCTTTGTTTAAATCTACTTCATTTTCTATAATCTACCGTGGCTAAAGTGAAGTATTTTCAATTTATCATGCTCTAAATATTGTGTTGTTTAATAATATGAACCGGTTTTCTTGCCTAACAAAACTTCCGTAGAACATTTACTTTAAATTGTAGTCTATAATCGGTTTGACTGAAGCTTACTGCTTACTGCTGTATCTTGAAGACTAATTTTACATAGGATTCTAACTACCCTATGAATAATATATACAATTGTACAGTTTCTTCTCGGAACAAAGGTTGATCGTGGTTTAAATACATGCCTTCTTAAACGATCGTGATTTGAAGATACAAAGAAAAGTTCGCAATGTGTAAGTTGAATGTAAGTCAACGGAACGGGTTTTTTGTATGTTTGTATTGAATAAGGTTGTCTGTGTGGTGACGGAATAAGAATACGGAATGACACCACCCCTAGTCATCTCGTGGGTGTCATAAGAGCCAACTGAGGGGGCAAACTCTGCAGGATAACAACCCAACCCGTCTGGTTAGCATGGTATCGTAGGCCCAAACCTTCTTTCTAAGAGGACAATAAGAGGACAAACTATCGCCACCCACGGACACCTACAACTCAAGAATTACAATTGCGTTGTCACTTCATACATAGCCTCTTGAGGGGGCCCTCCTCCTCCATGAGGGTGGCTCACTATGATCCTTTTGCAACCTCACTCAAAAAGCAACAAAAAAAACAGTGGCACTCCGGGAGAAGTGAAAACTTATATACTCATATACAGAGATGTATAACGGTAAAAGTGTCGTGAGTTAGATTGTTTTTCCCACCTCAAAAAATGCCCAACCTGCCTAAATAATTTTTCACTTATAATGCAATTAAAGAATTTACACTATTTAAATACAAGCATAAAAAAAATCCTTCGCATCATCGCTTACTGGTAGCGTAACCAGAAGATTGGCAGCATTGCCACATTGAATGGCAATGATAATTCTCTGTGCAAAAAAAAGGCCTGTTTAAAAAAAGGCCGGAATTCTGATCACGAGAAGTGTCGATTAATAATAATAATAACCTTACACATCTCACACAAAGCTGTCTGATCCCACACTAGGCAGAGCCAGCTATGGTAACCAGCCTGCTGATAAACATACTTATATATTTCTAAATTACACCCAGACACAGAACAAACGATCGTACTTATCACACAAATATTTGTCCTGTTGTGAATCGAACCCCACTTTTTGGGCTCCGATTTCCGCATTTAGACTTAAGAGGGGTCCTTTATGCGTCTAGAAGAGGTTGGCTAGATGAGCCAACCAAGCTCCTTCTAGAAGCGCAGAAGCCTCCTGGGGCGTTCACAGGCTTCTAGGAGCGATTTTGCACCAGGTGTGGTACTTGCCCGTTATGTAGCCACTCCCTCGCATTCAAATCGAACCCACGACCTCCGGCTTAGCAGTCAGGGTCACTAACTACTAGATCAACAGGCCCGTCAAAAGAATTGCTTAACACCGGATTCCTGTGAGGCCGGGTGCGTCGCCTCCCGCCTTACTCCGGTCAACCCACATAGCTAAGTATAGCATAGATACGGTGACATTTTCTAAACAAGAACCTTGGTACCATTAGGGTTAATGGTACTTTATGTGTTGTTATACATTGTTTTTGCTACCATAATATTGTGGTTTGGCATGGCATACTTGTAAAGATAGTTTCTGTGCGGAGATGTCGGGTTCGATACCCGGGTCGGACCATATGTTTGACCCGGGTATTTACAAAAATAAGGATATAAGTATTCCATCAGTCAATTTAGCTTTCATAATACCAGCTCTGCTTAGTTTGGAACTAGATGGCGTTGTGTGTCAGATGTCCGAAAATATTATTATTCTTTATAAACTAAAAACTACTTTGTAGACTCCCATTGGATGCAACTGCCATCAAGTCAAATGCAGCAATCATTTTACGAATCTCATTGGCTGCAATGCAAACAATTTTACTGCTTTTCTTTTCATGAGGTACAATTAAAAATACATCCTCAAGCTTTTAAGGTACGTCAGTATAATCATGTTACATTAATAAAAGACATAATGTATTTTTAAATGTACAGTCACCAGCAATTAAACTTTACTTAGTACGCTATCCTGTCCAAAAGAGGATCCTACCAGTTTTTAATAAAATGATTATTATTTAATGAAGTCGTCGTTAGCAGTCCTTATAAAGGGCCTTAATTAAAAATATCTAGACATGGGAAATGCAACTGTACATCGACGAGTCGCTGTGACAAAAAGTCACGCGACAAATTGAGAGAATCGTACGACCTGTGACTCGTTATTATCACTTACGTAGAAATTAGGTTTGGTATGTTTATTAGCGAGTTTACAAAAAAATATAACATAATTCTAGACCATTACTTCGAAAGATAAATTACGTTTTTGTAAGAAAAGAGTTCACTGTTACACGTTCACCACGACAACACCTCAAAAATAATGATGTTTTACCGCGTTATTTTCCAGTTGGAGTCAGGAGTGTCAGGTGAAAGAAAAGAAGAGAGAAAAGTATTTTTCCAATCTTGTGGCATTAACACGATCAGAAATATGCTACTAAGCTAATTATTCTTCTGTTACAACGTTAGAATTTTAGTAATATCAGAATTATTTATTTATAGATATACTAGGGCTGTGACTATAATTTAAAAAAGGGTTATTTTTGACACAACAAAGGGCTTGACTTTTTTCGCTATCTATATCATGGTTAACTACTTCTAACTTAAAATCACTTTCTAAGTTATCGCACAAAATAAAAAAAATTGGGACTAACTTTGAATAGACATTAATCTAATACTGATTGCATGTATGTAATAAATCCCCGTAGGGGTAGACCGAAGCCATATTATACGCCTACATTTTGCGAACTATAATTTATATTTTTTGTTCAATCTTTTACAATACAAAATAAATGACGTTTTGAAAATGATCTGCACGCAGACACTTTAAAATGATGATGAAAAATCCTTTAAATCCCTGTCATAAAAATAATATAATGAAAATGTCGCATAAAAACGCTTTAGTAGATAACTTGAGCCTCATCTCTAAGTTACCATCGGAAAAATTCTTTCCGTAATTAATGAAGATGTGATTGTTTGGGACGTGACTCGAGCATTGTCCTCAATAAGGCCAACTACACACAAGTAATGAATCGATCGTAAAACCCGATATCGATATATCGATACTCATTTTCATTCAATGAGATTTACGATGTTTATGCATGCAAAATTGGCGGGCGTTTCAAGTGTCGACTTTTATCGGCCATTCAAAATTCGAATTGTGAATTTTTAGTGCTTCGAATTAATAGCATTATTTTTCTTAAGTGTCAAGTGATTTTGAAGGATTTAATAAATCATAACTCACTCAATGCATTTAAAATATGTAGTGCGGGTTATTTTGCACAGCTAAACAATATTTTAATTCTAGCATTATCCTCATACTTTCTAATAGAAACAAAAACTTAAATATAATTTGTCATAGCCAACTTTTTA